ATAACACATTCAGTGCTCAAACACCCTATTCTAAACACGATCATGCAAATATCAATTCTGATTTCATGTGACAGAAATTTAAAGCCATCAGACATACTCCTCTCCCAGTTTGGCTTTACTTATTATTGTACGAATACATCGCACGCAAGTTACTTAAATTATCAAGAAACTAATACTGCACAACACATATTCGAAGCATTTAAAATACTTCCTTCACAAAATTTTATTTCATGACACCACGCCTCACTTCGATCATCCATCTAAGAATGCAGCTTGTAAAACAACTCAACGAATGTTTCCTCATTCATAACTACAAATCTGACGCAAAATCTGCCCCATTGCTTCTTGTTGTTTTCAAAGTGGGATAACAATGCGCACTGAGGTTTACGTATTAATCAGATCATTTCTACGACCAATACTCATTACCAAGAAACTTCTCAATGCCATTATTAACATCTCAAAAAGCTATTACTGTAAATTACACTGAACAATGCATTCATATTTCCATCATTTTTATTTCTAATATTTTTCCACATAATGTTATTAAACAAAAAACAAAACAAAACCGAATCTTCACTAATCGCTTTGCATCAAGAAATTGAACGCTGATTTAGACATCAACCTGTTTAATTTACACTTTCCGCTGCTGAACCAGATAAATGAGAAGCAATGTCATTGATTCCGATTTCATCATAATCTATGTTTGCCATCCCTGACTGATTTGAAACATACGCATTAAAATGCTTCGACGAAAAGGATAACGAAAAACGATCAGATAAGAACTGAAATGTGCTCATCACTATACTGTGCTTAACCACAAACAACGACAACGATAGCAGAATCTGACGAATTTCGACACTATTTTGCTTTCCACTTTATTGTTCCATTGGGTGGTAGAAACATTAAAAAGTATCGCACTTATTACCAATAAAAAAATATGAATATTTATGTATAATATATGCAAACGGCTTCATACCGTTACGTTCAATATTCATCAGCAATATTAATATTTCATATTCTATTATCTAAATTCAGAAATAAAAAAATGAAATAGAAGCGAGCGAAGAGAACAAGAATCAAGTAGAACAGCCAAATGAAAATGAGTCTGTTCTCAACGACATCGAATCTCTTGAATCACTAAACGGCAGCTGCACCAGAGATGATTTCGATCAATTCACGTGTGATCACCGACTGACGAGTTCGATTGAACTGCATTGTGAGCTTATCGATCATTTCACCTTAAATCAGTTAATAGCAAATGATACCATCTTTACCTTTCAAATTAGAACTAAAAATTGAATTATCCATTTATTACCATCATTCAATCATATTATTTTCAAGGATGAATGGAAGATGAATGATCAATAAAACCATATTTATTACTGAATACGTTTCAGTTCAAGGATGGATACAGATAAATAAACCCACCAGCATTCTTACTGGCACCTTCCATTGCGGTCATTCGTGAGCTTTGCTCAGAGGTAGCACTCTCTTTCATCGCATAATAAATCAGCTGAGCTAACGAGTACTCGGTATAGCTTTGGAGAACATCATCATCAATTGAATCGTATGTTGAAAGTTTATCGTTTGACTACAATATCATTGATTTACGCAATGTCTGAGTCATCATTAATCAAAAATGCTGGAATAACTGAATGATCGAGTGTAGCTCATCAAATCATATTATGAAAATATTCATCTACATATTCTGATGTATCGACCGCTCCATGCTCTCTCAAACGTTATGACAAAAAAATCTTCTGTGCGTGAATTATTCAACAATTATACGGCGACTGAAATATACTACAAGATGATACACATGGTTTTTCAAAAAATGAATGAATGAAAGTAAATGATAAATAAAAGATCTACCTTAATCGCATCACTCGGAAGTAGTGGCATTTTTGTTGTTGAATAAGATACGACTGTCTTGAATCTATTGTAAATTATATGTCCCTGAAATGAAAATTTTACTCGAAACTTCATGCAATTATTAGAAGTATTCACGACCTCAAATTAGATCATTAAGGAGCTATCTGCTCGTCATAATACATTATTCGCGCCCAGAAGATAAACCTCTCCATAGATTTGGAGGCTATTCATTTTATCTTTCCTTCATCTCATAGCATACATATAACTGTGGGTGGCTGAACATTGAAATACAAACAACTGCCAGTCTATATGGAATTCAAATGAGAAAATTGCTGGAATATTTTAAGCACAGTTTTAAGTTCTTGATAAAATCCAAGAGCTTTCACAAATGTTATCAAAGATGAGAAGCAAAAATTCTGAAGACTCACATGGTCGAATTCATAGCCCGAATTGAGGATGGCAGCAGCAGCAATAGATGCATCCTCAAAAGTGGGTGGTTGACGCCCGATTTCGTTGGCTGAGAAGATCACGTCTTTACCGAACAACCGACCCAACGATGCTTTTGCCTTATCACCGATCAGCACTAGCTTGTAATCTACACCTTCCGGCTTTGTCTTTATCATGTTTTTGGCTTCCTACAATCAAAAAAGATTTCAAAATATGACAAGCAAACTTTATAAAATTACTTTAAAGTTCGAGGAAGATCTGATATAGCCATAAATATTACCAAGAAATGTACTCACAAAACAGCATTCAAACACTTGTGAATAAAAATGAGAACACGAACTTTTGCGATTGAAGTGTGCACAGCACCACAAAGACCTCTGTCAGAGGTTATCAAAATCAGAAGTTGTTTTGGTTTATCAGCTGCAACTTCTAGCGATCCAATATTTTCGTAGAATTTTTGCGCTCCTTCGCCATAAGAGCGAGCACCCTAGATTACAAAAAACATTGAAAACACTACTGAAAATACAAACAATAATTTTCATCCGAAATCAATAATTTTTGCTGAATTCACTTCCCACATATGACGATTGTATGAGTATGAGGTTTTCTACGAAGAAAATCTGAACGTTTATACCGTCGCGATAATTATTATGTGCCATGAAAGCTGTAATTTTCTTTTGGGAATATATTGTTAGAGTGACAAGCTCTTGTACAGAAGAAAAATGAAACTCTGAAGAGTACAGTTCCTCGATGAGAAAAATGCAAGCAGTTCCTCTTCTATTCTCAAAATAACCTGTGTGAAATTTCGCATCTGAGTCAGATACGAAATGTCAAAGTGTCACTGGGTTAGCTCTTCTTTGGCCTTCGTGCACGAATGTCGACTTTCAAAATTTTCCTAGTTCCACCCTTTATAGTATAGTATATTTCTGATTGAAAATAATTTGTATGAAAGTTCATCAAAAAACTAGATTCAGACGTCACTGTGCCTAGGGCAAAACAACATTATCCCAACGAAATTTCAGATTAACTTCTCTGAAGCAACATTTAGCACAGGTTGTTTCAAGACCAAATGGAGTACTCTCCTCAGTTAGGACCTCAGAAATTTCGGCAATCGAAAAAATTTGTTACCCTGACATACACAGATATGAAGAGCACCGAGTGAATTAATAAATGAAGCAAATCATAAGGCATGAGCTATGTCAGTAAGTACCATACTTTGAGTTCTCGTTCAGCTTTAGTATACTTTGCTGCTGATACCATCTTCATACTTTTCGTAATCTTCTGAATGTTCTTCACAGATTTCAACCTTATCGAAATATCCTTCAACGTCGCAAACCCCCTCTGTTGCTCAATTGCTAATCCTGAGAAAGCATTACAAAATTTTGAGGCCAGCATCCTTCCTGAAATTGAACATCACTTCAAATCACAACATAAAGGAGAGGTAATAAAAGAGCACAAAAACCATGAATCGACAAAAGTTGTATGAAAAGACCGCTGTCTCGCACACAACTGTTTTTAAATCCAAGCTTCTAGCCTTTACAATAAAACATTTCGACATTCAGATAATGAACCAAACTGTTTCTCTTTGAAATGAAGTTTTCTAATCGAAACTTCAGTTGAACAATCAAACATAAATTTAAATTACAACAAAAAACCTCCCCATACGAAATAAAATAATCCAATCCAGCATTCACTGCCCCAATACCAGCTCTAAACGCTCTCCCTCTTGAATCAGTTCATAACCGAAAAGCCTAAACGATCACTCCCGTCGTTTTATGCCTTAACTGCGAACAAACGTCTGGCTTTAATCGGTACGCAATATATACGGTCGCTTTGCAGCGAATCGGTGCGATGATAAATGCGTTCAAAAATTTACATGTAAAAACAGATGAGCAAACGCATCTTCGAATGACAACAGTAAAGTAAAATAAATAGTAATGGATGGAATAAGCGAATGAAATTGTCATTCAAGGGAACGGTTTACTCAAAAATATCAACTGAAGATGAATGAAATCTATTTGCAGGTCATCAATCGCTTTGCAAAGTCGTTAATACAGATCGATGGCAACTAGTATCAGTGTTATCTATGGAGCAAAAAATGCATGCACGACAAGAATGTTGCGGAGAAGGAAAAAAGTCGAGAACGAAATTTTGCAGTCGGGGATCTGAGAATGCTGCCGCCTTCAAAAATGTTCAGAACAGGGNACTAGTATCAGTGTTATCTATGGAGCAAAAAATGCATGCACGACAAGAATGTTGCGGAGAAGGAAAAAAGTCAAGAACGAAATTTTGCAGTCGGGGATCCTGAGAATGCTGCCGCCTTCAAAAATGTTCAGAACAGGAGCGCGCGCGGAAACTGGGATGGGGTCCCCGAATTTCCCCGTTCCTCACAATACACTAAATAAAACCACCATGATAACACCGAACATTCTCAATGCAGTGCTTCACAGACAACAGCTGAAAGAACAGCCAAAATCTGCTCTGTTCGGTTCCGCTCTTTAAATTGTTCTGTTCCGTTCTATTCTCCACCCTCATATTTTGAAAGCCATTGTTTCCGTGCCCCGAACTTTCAAACCGTTCCGTCCCGCTGTTCAACAGTTCCGTCCTCTTCTCTTCTCTGCGTCTCTTTTTGGAACTGTTCTATTCCATTCCTTGGAACAAAACCTTATGAATGGAATAGAAACATCACTAGTCTCTACATCACTTTATTAGTATCTGGGTTACCATCTTCAGACCAATGCTGTCCTCGGATTTGTGCAGTGACAATGTGATTTTTTATCACCACCAAATTTCAAAGATTTTCTAGTTTCAGAAAAGTATGTATGTTGTCAGGCGCTTCTGCTTACATTCGCAGAAACAGATGATCCTGAGGGTATCTCATTTGCCCACTTCAATGCACTGCCTCGCTATTGATGAATCTGTGTATCAATTCACGACTATCAGGGGCACCATCTCCATACTAAAACTGTTTTCAGACTTGCTTACAATTGTAACATTGTTATTTCATCACACCATTGCATTTCCCAAATTCTGTAGTTTCAAAAGTATAAATGTTGTCGGTAGACTTACATCTTCACGGTTTCAAAACCATCATCTTTACGTATAAAGTCATTCGAAAAATGCTTTCAAACTCGAGGCTATCAGGGACGTTCATGGATTCATGTCAATTTGAGTAACTTTTGTATGAAAAGTTCCATTAAGTTGTTACTGTTCCTATACGTTACTTGAACGCATCATTTTTGTGGAAAAACTCTTACTTCTCCCAAATACGAACCCCGCATCCGAACCCGCTTATATTCGAGGATTCTATTCAACAAACTACTAGCTTATGGTTAACACTTGCAAATCAGTACCTAATGAATGAAAAAAGTATCAAACAACCATAGATAGAACTGTGTAAAAATATTCGCTGATACGGAGAAGGGCGATGCGGTGAATGAAAGTGATGCGAAAGAGTGGATTTCACTAGATGCACAAGTTGTTGGTGGAAATGTGAATAGATTAATGTTGAACGAAGATGCTTAGTGGGAAGAAGGTGAACGAAATGAAGAATGCGAAACAGAACGTTTACCACATTCCTTAGCTATAAAAGACATACTGCGTTAATGTCAACAGAACAAATTCAATACAAATACTTTGCTTTGCTTGCCTAACTTCCGTTGACGAAGCACGACTAGGGTTTGCAAAATCCCGACGACTTTTCAATCCCAGGATCGGGATTTAATCCCACCCGACGATTTTTCAATTCCGGGATCGATTTTTGATCCAGGGATAATCCCAGAACCGAACAATTATTGAAATATCGATGCGGGACATGTTTAAACACATTTTTTTGAACCAATGTGTTCATTATTAATCAGAAAGGAGCTAATTCAACAAATTATTGAACAAATCCAAGGAACTAAGTATTCAAATTAATATTGCATATAATGATGCCAATGATATGCCGCAAGGGCGTACTGCATATTATATGCTAATTGTAAGGCATCTTGTCATCTCAGGTCTAACTTAATAACAGTACACTTGCATGTGAATATGAAATTCTTCATTCCCGAACACTTATTTGCAATGCTTCAGTCCATTTTATCTCTTGTCAGTATTAACGTCAGCTAAATTCTGCCGTCTCAGAAATTTCGATTTTTTACGGAAGAAATGCACCGCATGAATTATAT